TATTCTTTTTCTCTTTATTCTTTTTCCCTATATTCTTTTTCTCTTTACTCTTTATCTCTTTATTCTTTTTCTCTTTATTCTTTTTCCTTATGTTCTTTTTCTCTTTATTCTTTTTCTTTCTACTCCTTTTCTATTTATTCTTTTTCCTTTTATTCTTATTCATCTTTTTATTTTAAAAACTTAATTTCCTCTTCTTTTCTTTATTTTTCGAATAAGTCCTCTTATTATTTTTTTTATCTTTCTTCTTCTTCCTATTATTTTAATCTTTCTTATTATCTTTGACGTTCTTTTTACTCTTCTTCCAATCTTTTAATTTTTTCTAATTGTTCTTTTCTTTTTTTTTCTTCTTCTTCTTCCCTTTTTTTTTGTATATTTAATTATTCTTATCTTTTTTTTTCTTACTCTTCTTGCTATTACTGTAATTCTCTTATTCTTTTTGCCTCAGCCTCTTGTTATTATTTTTTTTATTATTCTAATTGTTTTTAATATTCTAAATTTTAAAAATGTTATTCAGCAGCAATATCTCTTTTATTCTTAAGATATTTTTTTCTAAATTATTGTTAATTTTATTTATTAAGTTCATTTAAATCTTTTTCTAATGCTGCTAAATTATCCATTTCTAACATTACTTCTGCAGCTAGATCTTCATTGTCATAATCTATTAATTCATTAACTAATATATCCATTTCTTCATTTTTTGCTATTGCTTCATCTTTTTATTATTCAAACATCTATGAATCTATATCATAATTTATTTAACATATATCTCCTACTTCATCTAATAACTTTTTACATCTATCTATAACTAACTTTGATTTTTATACACAATTAACTCTTGGATTTCCTGGAGTTTAATTTATTGGAGTTTATACTATAGGATTATTATTATTAGATGATTAAAAATTACTTGGATTTGCTACTTTTATTGGTTATTATTATGTTTTTACAGTATCCAAAAATTATGCTTTTACTTATTATTATGAAGATTAAAGTAAATCAACTTCATGTAAAAACTAATTATTTTAATGATTATTAACAAATTCTTCTTTATAATAAGTCCATTGAGGGAATTAATATCCTTTATTTTTAATTTCTACATATAACTTAATAAAATTAGTTGAACCTCCTAATGGAGTTTATGGAAAGAATTAAGCCCATGCATGAATACATTCTAAAGCTAATCTTACTAATGACATTCCAATTTATCTAATATCCTTTTCTAAACTAATTATTTATTTTTATACCCATGTTTTCTCCAAATAAATTAGTTCCTCTATTTACATCATTTGTTGGACCTCCAAATTCTGCATAATATCTCAGTGATTCTAATGAATAAACTTCAAATTTTTATACAAATTTCATATTAAATATGTCAATCAATTCTTTACTTAACTATTTTTATTTTAAATAATTAATTACTCTCATTGCAAGTAATTTAGCCATTGGAGGATATTAATTTCTATTATGATCTGGAATTAGCACTTCTTTTATTGTATTGCATATTGTATCAAATATTTATTCCTAATTTTCTGATATAGCTTATTTAATTAAGCGAGTATTTTTGTAATCAGTTGGTGTCAACAAACAAGATTTTATAAACTCAGATGTGATTTGTTATTACATTTAATAGTATTAAATTTATTTATTTATAATTATCTTAAATTTCTTCCATTTTATATAGTATTCTGATACGCATTATTTTTACTATCTTTATTTCATATAAATATAAATAAAACATATATTAGCAACTCGAATATTTATAAATATATAAAATCACAATAACTATTTCATCA